AAAATTACCATTAATTATTCCGCGACGAGATATTAAACGTCCAGTAGGATCTGATGTATATACGGCTAATACCGCTGATTAACAACAAAACGTTTTGTTACATTTGTTACACAGAAGATAATATGTTATGTCCTACATTAAATTCATATAGATAATCTGATATTTTGCATGGCGATTGTTTAGATATGATCTTAAAATCTTTAAAATTTATCAATCAATTCTTTCAAAAGAAAGCTTTATTTAAAAAAGTAAATTTAAAAACCATTATTTATTAAATTTTAAATAAACTAAAAAGAACAAGTGAGAATAATCAAATTAATTTCAATATTCTAAAATCTTTTCTATAAAATCAATCAATAAAATATTTAAATTAAAATATTTTAATAAAACTTAATTAGCCTTGATAATAAATAATCAAAATCTTCAATTGAAAGATAATCCAAGTAAATCATCAATAGCATTCCCTGTTATAAATAAAAATGTGAGAATAGAATTAACATATGCTAAAATATATGTTACACGTTACCTTTTCCAGAAGATTCCTTATTATTAGAATCACTTAGGCCAAGCAAATCATCAGTAATTTGAATTTGACCTCGTGATTTATCAGGTTCTTCCAAATCGATTAGCCAAGATTCTGAAGAAGATGCCATCCTACTTAAATTAAATAAATCAGATAATATAAGGGTATTTTAAACCAAATAAATTATAACTAGTAAATAAACTAATTACGTAGTTGGTGGTGTTTGCGGTGTTTGTGGTGATAATTTATCCTCAAGCTGTTCGAATATTCCATTCTTTACATTCTCATATCTTTTCAATACCGAATTAATCAAATCATTTAGTGTTAACAATCGATCTATAGTGAATAATAATTGATGTTAATAAATGTCATCTTATTTCGTCATAAGTAAATAATTATAATTACCGATGCTTTCTGTGTCATCATCTTCAGAAACAAATTTCTGAATTTTAGGCTGTACAGCTTTACAAGCCTGAGATAACTCCTATATATTCATATATTAGTATTCTGAAAGAAAAACTATTCTAATTCAAATTCATATTTGGTTACCTCAAATATATCGTTAGCACCTATCTTTTCACCAGATTTAACATTATCAAGCATATCATTCAAAAGTATCGTTTTTTGTTGAATTTTATCTAATTCTTCATTGGCTTGCTTCTTATAATCAGGTTTAGCTTCAGGATCCTAGAAAAGATCCAATTAGTGTTTGTATAGTCATTTAAACATATGAGCTGTAAAGAAATAACAAATACTTATTTATACTTACGTATCCAGCCATGATTTTCATAAGAACATTCGCTTCCTCTAAATCTGATGGAAGACCTCTACGAATTAATTCTTGTAATTTCTAAAGTACACAAGAAATAACAATAATATATAAATATTTCAAATTCAAATTAAAACCCGTATACTACAATTTGTTATAACAATTATAAATAAAGCAATCAAAAAGTAACAAAATACTTCAACTTTACCGCTGCTTGCGCAGCACGATCCTCTTGCTCAAGTTCGTCTGGAGACTTTAATGTCTGATTACAAATTATAATTATAAATTAACATATGCCTACGTTGTATTTTAATTTCTAAAGATAATGAATTAAATCGAACCTCTGATGGATTGAGGACTGCCGCGGATCGATTATCTATTTCGGGGAATAAATAACCTATACTCATCTATAGAAAAAAATCCTAAAGTTATAAACTCTAATAAGCAGAATCAATTATTATAATCCTTTTAATTTAAATATAAGATAGCTAAAAATAAACTTAGTAATAATATATAATAATAAAATTAATTATAAGTAAAATTTAGTTTTAAAAAAATTTGTTATAAGTTAAATTAATTAATCTGAATTATTATATCAAGTTTTTATTGTAATTTAAAATGAAAAAAATATATTTTTAATTATATAGTTTAATTTTAAATAGTATTAGAAAGTTTAGAATGTATCAGATTATAATAAAAGTTTATTTTATTTATAGAATCTAGGTTTATTTTTTATACTATAAAGCAGATAAATTTTGTTTACAAATATAAATATTAATATTAATAATATAATTATTATATAAA